ATCCTACTTCTTTTCTTTCCCTCTTTTGCTTGTCTGTCTGCCTTGCTTCTTCCCCTGCAGTAAATTACCGTTTTCGTGTGGATGAACTTCTCTCTACCCCAACAGACAAACAAACAAACAAACAAACAAACAAACAAACAAACAAACAAACAAACAAAAAACAAAACATGTTGGTTTATATTTGAACCATGGTGTCCAGGCGTGCATCATTGTTTGTTATTGTTGTGATTCTTGTATTATTATTTTTGAAGAATTTGATGGGGGGCAAAAAATGTTAATCACTGTATTGACTTCAATGTTTCATTTATTTCGCCTTTATCACAATAATGTGAAGGGTCATAAGTTTCCTTTTGATATTTCTTGTTGTGGACACTTGTAGAGGGCTAAATCATTTAAAAATATATTTTAATTTATGACTGTGTTAGGCTGTTCATCATGAAGGAGACACTGTTAATCAGAACTTAGGATTCAAATGAGCAAAAATGTCCACTGTGTGAACGTCTGAACTTTTGAATGTGAGGACGTGCGCTGATATGTGACCTATTTGTGTTGCAAGTGACGTACAACTTTTACTTTTTTTTTAAAGAAGTCATTTTCTGAGAAGGTTGTGCCTTCCTTTTCCTGTTATTTGTCAAGAGAACGGATTTTTTGCTCTGTAAAAAAGGCACATATGACCTGTTTGTGTTGCAAGTGCCGTAAAATTCTTGCTGAAAGTTTAAAAAATATTAAATAGCAACCTTTGCGTATAATGGAAGGGTGTGGCCTGTATATGAAGTACCGGCCTAACTTCCATTCGTCTGAGGAAGGGTTCGGATTGCGTGACCTCAGTGATAGCGAGGGAGATGAACTTTGCCGACTGCGGCAACACCAGGAATATTGCCAGCAGGAACTAGCGGGCACATCCCCGAGTCTACTCAGCCAATCAGACGGCTTTGTGGACAGGGTCAGCCAATCAGGCGGCTTTGTGGACCGGGTCAGCCAATCAGACGGCTTTGTGGACAGTGTCAGCCAATCAGACGGCTTTGTGGACAGGGTCAGCCAATCAGACGGCTTTATGGACTGGGTCAGCCAATCAGACAGTGCTGTAGAGAGGGTCAGCCAATCAGACGGCTTCGTGGATTTGATCGACCAATCAGACAGCTTCGTGGGTTTGATTGACCAATCAGACAGAGGCGTGTGCAGAAATGCGTGCCGAAGAACTCGTACTCGTTGCAATAACAAAGGCTGTGATTGGCTGAGCCCTGGTGCTGGTGCCAGAGGTGTGGGCGGACTGCTGATTCCGCGAAGCCCCGCCCTTTTGTGTTTGACCGCGTTTGCTTATCTGTTGCTGTCTTCCCCGCTTCCTGCCAGGTGCGAGAATGACATTGACCTCTGCAACGCCAGCGGGCCAGGAGGGGGCGGGAGTCTGTGCGAGAACAACAGCTCGTGCCAGGACCGGGGCTACGACTTTGTCTGTGACTGTGGCGGTGCTGCCTTCACTGGGGTCTTCTGTAATGTCTCGGTGAGTACTCACGGATGGGTTTTTATTTGGGGTGGGGGGTTTGTTTGTTTGTTCGTTGTTGTTTTTTTTGTTTTTTGTTTGTTTG